TTAACTCTCTCTGGCATATAACTATGTAACATTAAGCTGACTATGCATTAACTCTCTCTGGCATATAACTTTGTTACATTAAGCTGACTATACATTAACAAATCTAAAGAGAGAAAAAAAAATTCTACTAATAAATCTGTAAATTCAAGCAAAGCATGCCTGCACTCCTGTATACTGGATATGAAAATTAAATTTGATTGGTGTAAATGTTTGTCTCATATTACTGAAGAAGGTGTAATTGTTTCAACAATGAAACAAGCAGGATTTCGTCTGAAAGGCAATTATCAATAATTCCATCATTTAGCGTTGTAATTACTGACAAGATGATACAGTATATAAGTGTTTACGATGACGGTGAGGGTTCTTCCGACAGCACTGCAGCAGTTTATACACACTGCTGCTATTGTTCCTGCAGATCCACAAAACAGAAAATTCTAATTGGTGACAAGATGATTGAAGTGTTTTATCATGAAACATTTTTTGAGTCAATTATAAGCAGATATTTTTACTAAGACATATGGAAAACATTACTGATCAATTGAGTATGATGGCTGTTGACGGTCATTGAGATATTTACATACAACCATAGTGATGTATAATAACACAATTATGTCATTGTTGGTGTGATTCATTTCTAGATAGTAATACTAATCCACCAATTTTGTTGAGTTATCAGTATACAAAGTGACGTCTTCAGATATTAAAGTGGATGTTCCAGCGTGGTGAAGTCTACATCTGATTGTATAGAGGTCATAATTATCTCATTAGGAAGTTTTTTTTATTTCCTTGTGTGTGAATTTGGATGTGTTTGAGGTTCATTTTAGTAAGTCTGAAAGGGCTGTTGTTTACTATGTTCCCATTTTGTATATAAATTACTAACTTCGATTGACAGAGATTTACATGGCAAGTATCGTTGAAGTAGAAGACACTTACCCTTTCAGAACACCTGGTCTTCTTCTCTTCATTCTTTCTTTTGTTCACCTTTTGCCCTTGTTTCATCAAGTTTGAGTTTGATTAAGATTCTGGTGACATGTTGGTATTTCCTTTGCTGATAATGTACCACAGTTAAATTGTATCCTTCTAAAACCAACATACAATGTAGCATCATTAAATTGTAACTTTGTAAAACCATTATACAATGTAACATAATTAAATTGTAACTTTGTAAAACCATTATACAATGTAACATAATTAAATTGTAACTTTGTAAAACCATTATACAATGTAACATAATTAAATTGTAACTTTGTAAAACCATTATACAATGTAACATAATTAAATTGTAACTTTGTAAAACCATTATACAATGTAACATAATTGAATTGTAACTGTGTAAGACTTGCAAACAGTATAGTATTGTGAAATTGTATATTTGTAAGACTGACAGACAATGTAACAGAGTGACATTGTAACTTTGTAAGACCGACATACAGGGTCAACTAAGCACAGTGAAATCATATCCTTGGAAGACAGACATACAATGCATCAAAATGAAACCTGCACTCCAAAGCACTACCAAAAGTTTCTGTATCATATTGTTGATGCTGTAAACAAAAGTTGGTATTATTTTGACCTGTCTTGACCTCAAAAATTTCAAACAATGCTTTCTACCATTTGTGTAACTTTTTATTCTAGAAAACCATGAGTAAAGTTGTTTGAACTCTTCTAGTGAGAGTTACACAATGATTGTACCCATTGACCATACAATGTGCACAAAAAGCTTGTATTAGATTTGTTGATAAATACTTGCTAATGATTGTCAATATAGATTGACACGACAGTACAATGGTGATGTATATATACAGGATGGTCAATATATTGAATATAACTAAAGGGTCATCATAGAATACTTAAAAAAAAATGTTATTAGTAGATTTTATGCCCACTGACTCATTAGGCCCTTGATAGGTAACCAATAATTAGTTTGGTAAACATTGATTAGCAAACTAAATGTTAACGATGATTGACCCATCAGAGCAGGAGATATTTCATGAGAAATAATTAAAGTGCTAATATGTGAAGTCTACCTGCCTTAAAAAGGCCACTTTTATTTAAAAGATACCTGTCTGTTAAGGTAACTTTCTACTATTATCCCTTTAGAGACCTTTATAAACAGGTTAATAGGTATTATTAGAAATTATAAATACAAAATCTTATTACCTGTAAACTCTCCTTATCTTAAGCCCACAAAACTTTTCACCTGGAATAAATAATTCTTTGACAGTCACTAAAACCTTACCAGCTTTTATTGTCAGTAAATTTGTTGTAAAATATGTTCTACTGACAAAATGTTTGTTTATGTACCATTGTGGAATTTGTTTGTTTACCTGGTCAGTCACCCCATAAACAGTTGGCCCCAATATGAGTGAGGAGGTCTCCTTGTAGTAGCTCTTGGCTACATCAATGAACAGCTTCCTTGGAAACATAACCCATACTGGGTATGCCTTTAACTACCTATCTCAGATCATTGGACATTAGCAATGTTGATGCCTCGCCAACTGAGCTATCACAGTCACCTATCTGATCAATTTGTTACAACTACATACAAGAAAGTACACAAATGCCATCTTGAGGATTAACATTCAAATTTATAGCAATAGTTCATAAGTTTATTAGAGATGTGAAAAGTCTAAACTAGTATAATCTAGAGTCAAATAGTTAAACTCAATTTTATCACCACAATTGTTTGGTTTTTTTTCATCCTTTTTTCCCTCAATTATGATATTAAAGAATCATTGTGTCTGTAACATTTTGCTAGCAGACATATTACAATTGAAAAAATAGTGGAGTCGGTGGAACTATTTTGGGCTGTTATCTGCATGTCTCCAATCCATCCATCAGTTCTCACATGGTATCTATACGTTGATTCATCAGTCCTTGAATATCTAATGATCGAGACATGCGTTGACCATCTTCTATCAATAGATCAATCTGATTGCCATGATGAGGACAGCCACTGGACACTGAGTTGTGTAGACAGGGCCACAGAGACCTATTCATTCATTATTCTGAACTGTATTGAGTAGGTAGCTTGTCTTTATGTGGTTATAAGACTGGTCATCAGACTGACCACAGGTCAATACTCTGACCATCCAAATCAGAAATTAGCTCAATTGTAGAATTAACCCTATACTTTATTCTGTATCCAAATCCTTCACATCAGGCAGCTGTCCGGCAAATTTCCAATTCCAACAGAATTCCAACTCAGGTTTCCAAGTCTAACTGATATCCAAGTTCGATGGAATTGTTCCATGAAAATATTTGCTGTATTGTCTTGCTCTATAGATGGGTCATTGACTTAATGACGAGTCATTAGATCCTTAAAACACTATACTTGGTTCTAATACCAATAAAACAGTGAAAATTTGTCTTAATTATGTTTGAATTTTAACTCATTTTAATTTCTGCCATGTTGAAAATTTACAGTAAAGATATTCAATTTTTTTTTTTCAAATTGACAGTGAGGTGATCTTTAGAGTCAGGGCCAGACAGTGAGGTGATTTTTAAAGTTTGAGATCTATAATACAAGGTGATTTGAAGAGTCTGAAGCAAACACAGCAAGGTGATATTGCAAGATCAAACATTTATGGGTTTAAAATTGGTTGACGGAAAGTGCAAGACAGCTTAAAGGTTCTTGCACAGAAATAGAAGGCATTTTTCATTATAATGCAACCACGTATTTTAAATTTCTTGTAGGAGATTATTTTCGCAGGCTGAAAACAGTCAAGTTCAAACTTAAAAGACATTTACTGAAGTTATGTGACCAAGTACATGGGTGTGATGCTATGAGATTTTAAATAGTAGGCTGACGTGCCACAACAGCTTAAAAAGAATTTTTTATGTATTTCTCTAATGAATTGTTTAAATAAAGTAACAATATGTTTTTTTTTATGAATAAGCAAACCAGGTCCAATAATTTTGTTTTTACTTTGCCTCTGTCTAATTATTCAACAGTCTAATGTATGTAGATCAGGTAAGAGTACACCAATTAGTATTGAGTCCGTTTAATGAAGCACATTGTGTCAAATTTAAAAAGCAGTGCCCCACCCAATCCTGGCATATCCACTTCTTCACACCAACACCATTGAAAACTTCACTTCTTAAATTTCAAAATATGAGGTATAATAAAATGGTGGACACCGTGAGTTTTGGTTACTGCTGGTTTACAGCATTAAGTATATGTACTTTTTGTGGGGTGTTGAATAACAGACCAATAATTCTCTTCGTTACAAGTTCACATCTGTTTAAAAAACAATGAAAATACCAACATGTCAACTTAATCATAGTTCAAACTCAAATTTATTGAACCTAGTGCAAAATATGAACAAAAGAAAGATTTACATAGAGATTCCTTAAAAAGTTTAAGCAGAATAAGACCATGTGTTCCGGAAGAGTAAGCATCTTCTGCTTCATCAACAACACCTACCATGTCATTCTTAGTCAGTCCAAGTAAGTTATATCACTTTCTCAAATGAGGATAAGGTATACAACAATAAAACCAACAGACAACGAGCATCAAACACTTTCAGCATCATATTGTACAAAGAAATAGAACATATAAAGATATATCATTTTCATCAGCCTTCATCTTTTGAAACCTGTGTTATGAGTTTGTCAATCAGTTGAAGACTTTTAGAGTGAAAATCATGAAAATCTGTTTTACTCTGTAGCTTTTCAGCATCAGCAACAAGAACGCTGCTAAACAGTGTTCGTCATAGAATTAAAGAATATAGATGATGAATTCTTACTGTGTTTTTACTGTTACATGCACTCTAAAGGTAGTCTGTCTCACACAAATGAAATGCAGGGAGTGACAGACAAAATAGAGATGTATCGGAGGCTCCATCATATATAAAATAGAAGTGGTCGAAGACAAAATAGGCAATCTCATGAAAAATGGCTGAGTCACTGTCCCATATTAAATAGAGGTGAGAAATGGTCACAGATAAAATCTGAAGCTGTCACAAACAAAATTGTTTTTAAGAAAGTCGGTCAAAGACATGAGAGGTACTGTCAAAGACATGAGAGGTTCTGTCAAAGACATGAGAGGTTCTGTCAAAGACATGAGAGGTTCTGTCAAAGACATGAGAGGTTCTGTCAAAGACATGAGAGGTACTGTCAAAGACATGAGAGGTACTGTCAAAGACATGAGAGGTTCTGTCAAAGACATGAGAGGTTCTGTCAAAGACATGAGAGGTACTGTCAAAGACATGAGAGGTACTGTCAAAGACATGAGAGGTACTGTCAAAGACATGAGAGGTACTGTCAAAGACATGAGAGGTACTGTCAAAGACATGAGAGGTTCTGTCAAAGACATGAGAGGTACTGTCAAAGACATGAGAGGTACTGTCAAATAAAAAAGAGAGGTACTGTCAAATACAAAAGAGAGGTACTGTCAAATAAAAAAGAGAGGTACTGTCAAATAAAAAAGAGAGGTACTGTCAAATAAAAAAGAGAGGTACTGTCAAATAAAAAAGAGAGGTACTGTCAAATAAAAAAGAGAGGTACTGTCAAATAAAAAAGAGAGGTACTGTCAAATAAAAAAGAGAGGTACTGTCACATACAAAAGAGAGGTATTATCACTTACAAAAGAGAGGTACTGTCAAATAAAAAAGAGAGGTACTGTCACATACAAAAGAGAGGTACTGTCAAATAAAAAAGAGAGGTACTGCCACATACAAAAGAGAGGTACTGCCACATAAAAAAGAGAGGTACTGTCACATACAAAAGAGAGGTATTATCACTTACAAAAGAGAGGTACTGCCACATACAAACGAGAGGTATTATCACTTACAAAAGAGAGGTACTGCCACATACAAAAGAGAGGTATTATCACTTACAAAAGAGAGGTACTGTCACATACAAAAGAGAGGTATTATCACTTACAAAAGAGAGGTACTGCCACATACAAACGAGAGGTATTATCACTTACAAAAGAGAGGTACTGCCACATACAAAAGAGAGGTATTATCACTTACAAAAGAGTGGTATTGCCACATACAAAAGAGAGGTATTGTCACTTACAAAAGAGTGGAATTGCCACATACAAAAGAGAGGTATTGTCAATTACAAAAGAGTGGTATTGCCACATACAAAAGACAGATTCTGTCACATACAAAAGAGAGGTATTGTCACTTACAAAAGAGTGGTATTGCCACATACAAAAGAGAGGTATTGCCACATACAAAAGACAGGTTCTGTCACATACAAAAGAGAGGTATTGTCAATTACAAAAGAGTGGTATTGCCACATACAAAAGACAGATTCTGTCACATACAAAAGAGAGGTATTGTCACATATAAAAGAGAGGTACTGTGACATACAAAAGAGTGGTATTGTCACATATAAAAGAGAGGTATTGTCACATATAAAAGAGAGGTACTGTCACATACAAAAGAGAGGTACTGTCACATACAAAAGAGAGGTACTGTGACATACAAAAGAGTGGTATCGTCACATATAAAAGAGTGGTATTGCCACATACAAAAGAGAGGTATTGTCACATACAAAAGAGAGGTATTGCCACATACAAAAGAGTGGTATTGTCACATATAAAAGAGAGGTATTGTCACATACAAAAGAGAGGTTTTGTCACATATAAAAGAGAGGTACTGTGACATATAAAAGAGAGGTACTGTGACATACAAAAGAGAGGTACTGTGACATACAAAAGAGAGGTTTTGTCACATATAAAAGAGAGGTATTGCCACATATAAAAGAGAGGTATTGCCACATATAAAAGAGAGGTATTGCCACATATAAAAGAGAGGCACCATCACAAGCATGTAGTAACATTCATTAAGAAGAGAGAGCCAGTAAAAGAGGAAATTGAAAAAGACAAAAACAAAATGAAAAAAACACTTGAATCTCGCACAGCAAATGAGCAAGGACAAACAAGTATTAATTGTCATATTACATGATCCTACCAGGACAACCTAACAAAAAGATGTTGTCACAAGGACATCCTTTACTCAAGATTAAATTTTAAAGAATTTTTTTCTTTCCAATGTTGGTAGTGCTGAAACCATGTTGTAATCAATTACAAGTTACAGGAAAACAGATATAACTTGGATGGTTTTTTTTTAGTTTATATCATATGTCAAAGGTGACAGCAGGAGGAAAGTCAATGTCACAGTGACTTTAATTGAAAATAGACTACTCTGACAATGATAAAGCTTTTCTGTGTTCAGAAATAGCTTGTAGCTTCGTTATATAATTGATCCATAATTACAAGACAATCCCACTTAAAAAGACCTAGTGAATGTAGTAAGGCTTTCCCATTTTTTTTCTAAGTCGGAGAAAAATTGTGAAAGCTATTAAGCAAACAGTTCACAATTAATGTTTTAGATTTATTTGATACCTTATATGGCTATAAGGGACAGAAACTGTGTTTTGACATAGATCTCTGAAATTTTACACCGAAATTCCCGGTCCCGTTAATATGATAACCATATGGAATGGATAAATTGAATGATAATGATGCTGTCCCTGTAGAAATATCCAAATCAGCTCTCCTGAAATGGAGGAAGTTAATTCGCATTGATAAGTTTGTGTCTGTGGCAAATGTAGTGGCATAGATACTGATGAAAGCTGCGATCTTCAGTCGTCGAGGGTGATGGTGTTGTGGCCATGGTGGCACTAGCTATTGATATTACTGGATAGAATTCAATTATTTCCTGTCGATCTCAGCAGTATACATATACCCACAAATAGACAAAGATACTGTTCTGCATTAAAGACTATAGATGTGATAGACGTTCATATCAATCGTGTAATAAATCTAAATTAAAAGATGGGGAGAGATCATTCCTGTTTTATAGTTATTAGCTTGGACTGAAAATGTATGAAGAATCGTATGTTTTTCCGTGTTTATGCGATACAGCTTTGCTGTCCATATAGGTGCCATTTTTATTGTGGAAAACATTTACAGAGTTGTAAGTAATTTTGTTTGTGATATGGACTGACTGCCAAACCAGACAGACAGAATGATTCTCTTTCTATATAAGGCATCAGCATTGTCACCACTTTCGTTATAAACCATTGTTTGTATTTACAAAAAAAAAAATAAATAGAAAAAATAGTGGAGAAAGAAGTCAAATTTACATAGATGGAAAATGTCAATAAATGTTACAGCTGTGTTTGGAGCCATGTATAAATTTTGTTGCCAGAAAAATCTGTGTAATGTTTTAACAATAAACATATTGGATTTTTCAAAAAAAAAAAATAGAAGATTTAAGTGGAACTGGTTTTAAAAGTATGCTTTTTCTTCCAACACTTCTGAAACATAGCTATAACAGGGAGCAGGGTGTCCCATCAAGATCCTTTTACAAACTTTCACGCTCCATTACCTGGGCCTAGAAATACAAAGTATTGTTAGCTTGATGTCTGTTTCCTTCATCTCACTTTCTCCAGACACTAATTTCCTGATATCAATCAGATCTGGGCTAGGTTAAAATTAAATCACCTTCACATCAATGTAATTATAAACAGTTAAATATGCAGCAGACACTATTGACAGCTAGAACATCAATCAAAATATCCTTGTCTAACATTTAGTTATTTTGGTAGATGTTTGTGCTTCAGTTTTCTTTATCAGATTTTCAAAAAAAAAATTGAAGAAAGAAAAAAAAAAGATGTTTTTGCATAGGTTTTAGAATCTTACCTAATCTTTTTTTTTCTATATATAAAAAAGATAATGATGAAATGATCTTTAATGAAAACTGACAAAGCTGTAGGCTGGTTATAGTTTAGTCACTTGACACCTGAGGTCTCTCCCAATAGTGTTACAATCAGCACTGTTGATTTCCTTCTGTGACCTTTCACCTTAGGTGATTTCTACACAATGTCTGTCATTGATGTCAGTGAGAGGAAGCACTTGAGATTTTAACTCCTCAGGGTACATCAGCTTACTTTTTTACCTTGTTCTGTTATTCATATACCAAAATGTATTATTTGATTTAGAGTGTGTGTCGGATAACAAGCTTCTTATGCAGTCGAGCCACCCATCTTGTTTATTATGGGATACAATCTCCACATAAAGATCTACTGTGATGTATGAATCGTTTTAATTTACCTGTACTATAGCTATTTAGGGAACTTTTTGTCCCAACAACTTTCTTTGTGTTTCTCAAGTTGCTTTATGTTAGAGAAAGGTTTTATCATGAAAAAGCTGGAACTATAAGGATACAATGACCACATGTGTTCAATTTGTTAACACATGTTCAAATCATTTTTACAAATAATGGTTATGTTTCAGCATCTTTTGCATAATGTTAATTTCACAGGAAATGTAACAATTTTATCTTTCAAGATTTGATCAGTTTAAAAAATATTATGAATATTATAATATTGTATTATGAGAAAAAAAGTGCATGTGATTAAAAAAAAAAGGCCAGTTCATGTAGATAGGACAGGTGTAAAATATTTGTAACATCTTTATCATAAATGGTAGGTGAGGACAATTCTCGCACTCTGTAATTCTTCGGGAGTTAATTTGCTGTCATTTAGAGAAGTAGGATTTGATGGTTTTCCCGGCTTGGTAGCTACCATTATTACAGATTAACATTACATGGTACCCTCGATCTAGTTTACATTACCCATGCTGCTTATAAGTGGCTTCAAGCCTGGGGGTCCAAGCTCCAAGCTCGACCAGATGTCATTGGTTCTATAATTACATTGCATGCACTTCAGGTCATATTGATTGGAGAACACAGGATTTATTTAGTAATTTAAAAAAATTTAAGGAAACAAAATTAGTCCACGTGTGTGCATTAATTTATATGGATACCATGCCATGTTGGGTAACTGTAATCGCTGATCTTTGCCGATAGCAACTTGACAGTGCCAATTTTCATTTCCGAACAAAGTTATTGGAAAATGAATAAAATTTATACAATTATCTAATTAAGTATCAATTTTTTTCATTATTTTCATTTTATTTTGTTTTCATTCAAATCAGGAGATTTGGATAAATTAATAAGTGCTAGTGTGAAATAATGTTGTAATTGAAGTGAGTGTACAATATATTTTTTTTCCCTTTTATTGCTTCTCTGCTTTTTCAAAAAAATCTGAACTTATTTTCCTTTTGGGAAAGCTGATAAAATGTAACATAAAAAGATGCCTTTAACGATTTTGTTTCTGTAAATTATCGCTTTGTATAGTGAGAAAAGGGACTACCAGGATAATCTTGTCATAAATAGGTAATGGATAAGACAACATATATATACTCCAATAATATTCTTCATATCACACTTCCGTGATGATTATGATAAAATATTTCATGAGGACATTAAAGGCTGATGTTCGATGTTCGATGCGGAGAGTGTCATAAACAGGAATAGCAAGTATGGTATAAAACCTATATACACTCCCAATATATAACCAAACCTTTTGCCTTTTTATGAATCCTAAAAATATCTATATATACGTTTGATGTTTCTATATTCTATGTCGCCCATTTAAAATCTAGATACATCATTTCACACAAAATAATGGCAGAATTATGATGGAACGCACAAGTCTAGTAATGAGGTGTGAAAGTGTTGATGAGGGTGGTTGTTAACAGCGTGGTTTAAGGAGGCTGGTAGACGCTTACAGATACAATTTCAACCCTATTCTGTCAAGCAGAGAGGCTTGATTTCACTGATTCTCTAGCCCAAACGTCGAGCAGTAGAAAGGTATAGTTATACAGGAGTAAGTATATTGTATTCCTGTCATCATTTGTACATTCGTTAGCTTATATCCTGCTTTTTGTATTTCTCTCACATGTTGGTAGTCGCTTTAATACTCTTCGTATTGATCGTCAATACAGTCAATACATAACCCCAGCGACAACGCCAGTATCTGCTGTCGCTCTCAATGTGACAACAACAGGGTTTTTCTTTCCCTAGTCAAACATACATGCCACCCCTTGACCGAGACAGCGCGTGGCCCGTGTCTACCCCCGACCGACAACACCCCACTACATTAGTAGCTTAAAAATGAACACAATAAGAAGATACCAGATACTGTTACTACGGAATAATAAATGAAATTAAAAGCTTGAACGATTAACTGAACCCACTCATTGATTCATCAAGATTCACGATAAGATCATTCCATTGCTACGAACGTCCAATGTGAGTCACATTGTCTCTCTCCGATCCATTGAGTGACTCCGGTGGATGGATGCAAGCAGGCTTAACACAAAGAGCGCTCACCGCAATATACAAGTAGTTTTAATGCAGTATTGGAGAATAGTGGACTGATGTTTTACCTGAGTTCTATGTTGGTATATTAACAGAGTGTGTTTGGACACACTATCCAGCGTACTCGCTGATCTCTCAGACCAAGGGTGTATCGGGATGTTAATGTGATAATGAAGTGAGATGAATTTTTTATACCTTGACACAACAGGAAGAAGCTGATGTAGGATCTTCGGCACAGAATTAATGAAATAGAGTCTGATGCTGTTTTCCTGTATTTGTATGTGTGAAGATTTTCAGTTGAATCAGTGACACACGGAAAATGCAGAGTGTCCTGTCCTTCATCAGGAGCCTTTTCTGTCATATTTTGGTGTAACTGAGTTTGTATGGGTGGAAGTCATCCGTGACCTACTATTATCATCTGTCCAACCCCCGAAGGCTATCACATCCAATAGAGATCTGTCGTGTGTGTGTATTCATTTGTGTGTATAGTCAAGTTACTCCATTGAACATGTTGACAAACCGGTAACACAGTGGTTAATACTGGAACATTTTTTGATAAAAGTGCTTGACTGGAGAAGTGTGGTCGCTCGTGAATAATAACATGCGCCTATGATCCAGATTATCATGTAATGCAGTTATTTCAAACAAGTGATCTTCATTATCAACTTTTTTTTGTGTGGAAAAGCAGACATCAGGAACTTGTACGTGGATACTGAATGTAAAATTAACGTTTAGAGACATCATTAATTAAGGATCATAATGTAATTTCAATCAAATTTTTTTTATCAGAATTTTTTTCTTTCCATTCTATGTGGACGAGCAGACGTCAATCTGAGGTTTGAAATGTGTGAACATCAAGTGGGGTTGATCAGTTGCAGTAATACAGGATGAGGAATAAGATGTGGAAAATCGTTGAATTCTGGGATGTACTGCTGTGGAGTTGGATATTTATCACTACTCTAGCAGGTAAGAGGATTTGTCAATGTTATACAAGTTTTATTTCAGGTGTTTTTGACAGTAATAAAGTTATTCTGATATCAACTGTCAGAATGACATGATTTAAAATTCTCAAGATGATCTTAACAAGGTACCAAAAGTTTGAATCAGTTTTACGTATTATAGACAGTATTAGGGAAATATTAAAAGTATTAGGAAGTGTTTAAATGCAGATTCATGATGAGTGAACATCTTTACATATTTGAAAACTTTTTTTTTTTCAGTCACGATGTGAACTGCAGAAAATTAATGTTTTTCTAGATGTTTCACAGAGGAAAATACTTTAATTTTCAAAGTCGATAATCCATGATAATGATATGGTTGAATCTATAAAAAGAAATATTAAAATTTTCGGCTTGTGTAGAATTTTTTTTCCCCTTAGATTATGATTGATATTTTCACTCTGCCTCATTACACTGCATGTAAATTTAGGCCTCTTTGAAAATACTAAACAATATTATACCAGTATACTCTCCACAGAACAAACCATCGTGGCGATGTGGATTGTATCTGTCTTTGAGAACATAATTCCACTTGTGGGCTTTCCTGGCGTATCAGGGTCCTCCACCTTCAGCTATCTAACCGTTGTAGTTCTTCATGCTAGCAAAGGAATCAACACTCGATACCTCCACAGAAATGTGAAGTTGTTAATGATTTGATGTAGAAACACCATGCATCAATATAGCCTTTGTCTTTGATACTGGAAACACAGAAATACAGTATCCCAAGGTGCCATTATATTAATAATTAGTTATGTTCTCGGCAATTCTTTTACATCAACTTGAGTTGTCTGTTGGAACATATACAGAAATAAAATGTCCATAATTTGATTATCACATATCCTATCATAGGTAATATGTTGTGGTGTTTAAAGATAAGTATATATAAATATAATGAGACAAGCTTATAGGTGCCAATTCTGGCCAAGAAAATTACAGGAGCTGAGAACTTATCAGAAAGCTTCTTGGTACATGTCTATGGCTTGAAATGTAAGCTTCTCCTGAAAGCTTGTCAGGCTTCTTGGTACATGCGTCTTGCTGAAAATTTAATGAAGCTCTGTAGAGCTTATATTAAAGTATCTCTGAGCATGTTTCTTGCTGAAAATTTAGAGCAGCTCATGATGAAGCTTGTCGAAGCTTCTCGTTGCAGTTATCTAGATGATGAATTATACATATTTCATCCAACTCAGAGCCACACATTTTCTTTCATGCTTATAGAATTTGAATGGGGGTCCAATCCGTTGGGATTTAAACTGTGTGTGAATGTGCTACGGGTTGCTTGTACAGAAGCCAACAACTTTACAATGCATCTATTGTTTTGAAGCTGTGTAATGAAATCAAAATCTTCAAGGTTACAATGACCTTGAATAATATTTTCAATAAAATGTTTTAAAATATTCAAAATTTTGAAAAGAAATGCATTTGTTATATTATTTAAAAACATTTTTTTCGTAAAAGTAACTCACAAACACTAATACCAGTTTGAGTATTTTATTTTTAAATTCCTATTCTCATTCAAAATACTTAAACAAGTTAGACAGTTATGTATCCAGTATATTTTGGACTACATTAAAGATAGACAAGTTTGACACAGGGATTCTCTACAGGGATTTCTTTGATCAATCAAACATGATTTAATGGAACTTTGTGGCTCTGTATGCCATACTGTGTAACTAGGTGATGATCCACAAAAGGTGTCTAACTTCTTGTCTAATGATTACAGTTATTTATTTGCTTGGTCCATCACCCCGTCAACTGGCCCTGTCCTTTTATGATGGGGTCACAACATGGCAGCAGGTGGCTACCTCACTGAACAACATCCAAGAGGTCTGTCATATGCCATCCAGAGCAATTGCCCAAAGTTACAACCATGACGCATGAATAGGGCTGTTCATTGGCTTCATGAGAAATAGAGAAAAAAACTGTAGGTAGCTAGCATCAAACTACAGATCATGGATTATCATCTTAAGTTTGGAAGGCCAGCACTCAACCAGTCAAATGAAGATGGCCATTTATGAGAAGGTTACTGATGGAGGTGGTGTTATTTCAGTGGGCTATTATGTTTGCAAGGTTAAGGAGGTTCCAATGGAGGGTGTCATTTGGTAGGGTAGGGAAGGGAGATAACCAAAGAATATGGCTTTTGACTGTGGCAGGGAAGTAAGGATAGACATCAAAGATGAGTGTTTCGAAAGGAATAGGGGAGAGTGCAAGTTATGAAAGGAGAAAATCGCAAGGATGAGGCCATTTGTTAATAGATATGAAGATGAGGCTAGTTGTTCACAGTGGCATGGAGCCAGTTGTTGACAGAGGTAGGGATTGGGCCAGTTGTTCACAGTGACAGGGATGGGGCCAGTTGTTGACAGAGGTAGGGATGGAGACAGTTGTTCACAGTGGCAAGGATGGGGCCAGTTGTTCAAAGAGGCAGGGATGGGGCCAGTTGTTCACATTGGCAGGGATGGGGCCAGTTGTTGACAGAGGTAGGGATGGAGACAGTTGTTCTCAGTGGCAAGGATGGGGCCAGTTGTTCAAAGAGGCAGGGATGGGGCCAGTTGTTCACATTGGCAGGGATGGGGCCAGTTGTTGACAGAGGTAGGGATGGAGACAGTTGTTCACAGTGGCAGGGATGGGGCCAGTTGTTCACAGTGACAGGGATGGGGCCAGTTGTTCACAGTGGCAGGGATGGAGACAGTTGTTGACAGAGGTAGGGATGGAGACAGTTGTTCTCAGTGGTACGAGCCAGTTGTTGACAACAGTATAGATGTGGCTAGTTGCAAATTGAACGTAATTGAATCATGACATATTCAAGATTCTAGTTTTTTGCCAATATTGTAGCTAGTGAAACGTTCCATTTGACACAGAACTAACATTGATGTTGATGGTGATATGGAAAGTCTTGTACAATAGAAAAGTCCCGTTGTTGTTGGACCTTAGAATGTAGTTGTTTAATTGAATGTTGAACATGTTTTAACAATTATGGAATACTACACCTGGATGAATTCAAATAGAAGTGATCTGTTTACTGGACTGTAAACACAGTTAGTTTTAGTAACCACCTTCGGCTTCAGCTAAAATACTGTTATTGAATTGGAAAATATTTATACTGTCTGAATACTGTAACAGTGTAAATATATGATTGTCAAAACAAGGTGTCATTTTAAGGTTTAAATATAGATATATTGCTAAGTTTCCGGTTAGAAATCCATTTTGATCAAAAATAAGTGGTTTTTAAATGGTGGCATATTGTATTATGTATCATTCAATCTCTGAAAAACGTGTTTCAATATAACGAGTTAGTCTATTGGGAGTGAGTTGTTACAGGTCTCTATCTCTATGACCAGAAGGTATCACAGAGCTGATGAGGAGAGATCTGCTGGTGATTGTGTTCTGGTTATCTGTATAGCAATGTGTCACCAGAGCTAGGATAGACATATGTGTCATACGCAGATCAACTGGGAGTGCTTTCATCATTACTGAAACACACTACCTTACTCAAACCTTTAATGTCATCTTCATTTTATATAAATTATATATAAACCCTCTTTTCATCACTGTCAATTCGCTGAAACAAAAAAGATATACATGCATGCAAATGCACAATGTCATATAACTCATGAAAAAATTAGACAGATACACACATAGCCTTAATGTCATATCGCTGATTAATTATATACAGATGCGGACAAACAATCTCCATGTCATATTGCTGATAAAAAATTATATTCCGATGCAGACACACAGCCTCAGTGTCATATCACTGATAAAAAATTATATACAGATACAAACACAGTCTCCATGTCATGTAGCTAATGATAATAATTATATACAGGTACAAACACAGTCTCGATGTCACATAGCTAATGATAATAATTATATACAGATACAAACACAGTCTCCATGTCATATAGCTAATGATAATAATTATATACAGATACAAACACAGTCTCCATGTCATATAGCTAATGATAATAATTATATACAGGTATAGAAACACAATCCACAAATGCGTCTTCACCATCAGATCCAGTGGGTTAGATATACAGACACAAATGTTTAATTGCTGATTATTATAGTTATCAATACACATGGAAAAAGCTAGCAAAGTGACAGATGACAAGAAGGTTGTTGTGGTAGTCGTACTTGTCATTTATTAATATATCTTGGTATATAAACATCCGTAGTCCCGATACATTCATTGTCTTTTATAATAGTACTAGAACATGGATAATTATGCCCCCGCCATTTATGGCCGGGGGCATATAGCGTTGCCCATGTCCGTCCCGTCCCGTCCCGTCGCGTCCCGAATCAGTATATACCACCTAACAACTTCATTCGGAAGGCAATTTTCATGAAACTTCATACAAATATCAAGTATGGAAAGACCTCATGCAGTGTTGAATTTCTCGGCATTCTAAAAAAAGATGGCCACCAGGGGGAGATAACTCAAAAAAGAGGAACATCATCTTATTTCTACATAATTTGGTACTTGTGGGTTTTAAGGCATAAGGAACTAATATACTCCCTCATTTTTTCCAGAGAACAAAATTCCAAATTCATGTACGTTAAATCAACTTGTCAATTTAAGTATGAAACTTAAGTTGTACATAGTTGCATACAAATTAACAAAATCATCTCTTTCGGACCTTTCACTATTATTTCACATGGGGGGGGCGGGGGCATTCATGTCTTACAGACATTTTCTAGTTTTTTTTTTCTTCTTCTAAATGTTACTTTCGTGTAAGGACTGATCGAAATTGGTATTCTTAAATTAGCATTAGATTTTGTTTTGATTTGCATAAATTCCTAGCTATTGGGTGCTCACTACGAGGATTCGAGGAACCCAGTGATGCTTGGGTCTCCATTGATAATACAGCATGATATATGACCTGAAAATCTTAAATTGATTTGGCAATTTTATTTCTGAGGAGAAAATAACATTTTCTCTTCACAAGAAAGACTATGTCGCGAATCTTG